ATATTAAGAGAATAATGCTAATAAATCATGACTTTTATATTTTCACTTGAAAACAGTTTTTAATATACATAAAGAGAAAGGAAGACAAATTTGGTTGAAAAAGATACATACACATGAATGATTAAGAAAAAAAAATAGAGAGATGGGAAGATAAGGGATAAAGAATAATAAAAATCAATTATAAATATAGAGTTGGATTTGTGAAGATAAAATGAGAGAATAAAAATAAAATAGTTAAAAAAATAATAGTAGTGCAAAATAATGTAAAAAAATAAATTTAAGAAAGAGAAAATGAGGAGAAATACATGCATTAAATTAAGCTTGAATTGAAATTCCAAAAAATAATATAAGTGTAACATAATACTAAAATAAAGTAGAGAATTGAAGGTTCCTCAAAGAAAAATATAGAGAGAATTTATAATTAATGAAAATAAATAAGAATAATAATAATACACACGAAACCGCGCGAAGCTTGAGGTGTAGTAATAGTAATAATAATTGAACTCCGATCAAAATAAATTTAGGGCCTGTTTGGTACAACGGTTAAAATTCAGCAGATAGCGGGTAGCGGGTAACGGATAGCGGGTAGCGGGTAGCAGGTAACGGATAACAATTGGCGGTTAGAGTATGCTAATGAGAACAACTGTTTGGTAATTTATTTGTTAGCAGTTGCTGTTTAGGGTTAAATAACTAATAAGGATAAATTTAAAAATAATTAATTTTGTTAATTTTTTTTTTATATTCTCTATCATTAAAGGATTAATTTTATTAATAATAATACATAAATTAAACACTAATTATTATATTTTTAGTAGAAAATTGATTTCTTATTTTAAAATCATAATACAATATTCATTATTTTTTAAACCATAAATTAACAAAATTTATTAAATTCCACAAAAAAAGGTTGTTAAAGAAAATGCAATTCTGCTCAATGACTTTGCGTGCCAGTGGGTTTGACAAATGGGAAGGTTTTGTGGATCTGAACAGTGATTTATGAAGAAACTGCAAAAGAGGACAGAAGCTCGACACGGGTATAGTGTCGACACATACTTTTGATGTCGACACCATATGGTCAGCATACAAAACTCCAACACAGACGTGGTGTTGACACATATTTTGGGTGTCGACACTATATGGCAGGCGTCCAAAACATTTAATTTGATACCTGTCAAGTATGATGTATGAGTTTGAGTACCCTTTGTACTTCAGTTATTAATAAATATTATTTTTTGTTGTTAAAAAAAAATGCAATTATGAACATACAAAAAAAACATATAAAAATAAAAATTAAAAATTAAAACAAAAAAATCTCAATCAATAATCAATAATATTTAATAAACTATCTAATTAATTAATCTTTGTTTTGTTGTCTAGCCAATAAGAATATCAATCCCAGGATCTCATCAAACTTTGAGCTATTTCATCACGTAATCCATTCATCTCTTGGGCAGTTATATTATCTTGTTTATCGAATTCCTTTGTACGTTCCACTTCCTCATATGGCACAAAATTAGGATTTTCATCAAGTCTTGTAAATGCTGGATCTGCTAGTGCTTTTCTACGAATATAATTATGTATGGCCATTGATGTGATCACGATATCTCTCTGCACATTAAAAGGATATGAAGGCATTACTCGAAAAATCTTAAATCTAGCCTTCCAAACTCCAAAAGTACGTTCAATGCGACCTCTTAAAGAAGAATGCCAACGATTGAAAATTTCTTTGTAGCCCCTAGGTTCACCACCACGTTCAAAATCAGATAAATGATATCTTGTTCCTTTATACGGTCCAAGGTATCCTTGAATTTGAGGGTATCTAGCATCTACTAAATAATATTTTCCTACATGTTTTATAAAAAAAAAAATGTTAATCAACTTTTTGTAATCCATATATCTTGGTAAATATAAAATTATACCATGTATACCTGGTGGTGGTTTTGGAAAATTTAATTCTTTCTTACGGATAGCATACTGAAATATTCGTGCATCATGAGCTGTACCTTCCCAACCCGCTAGTACAAAGGTAAACTGTAGATCAAAACTACATGCAGCCATTACATTTTGTGTTGGTATTCCTTTTCGTCCATTAATAAATCGTATTTGATCCTCCTTTTTTACACATGCCAAAATGTGAGTTCCATCAATAGCTCCAATACAATCCTAAAAAAGAAATAAAATGATAATATCAGTTTAAATTATCAACCCTAAAGGCCTAAACAATATATCAAACAAGAAACTTCACATAGGGAAAACTAGGTAGCCTCCATAGTTGCGTGACATGTAGCGCTAGGAATACAAGCAACTTACTACCAAAAACAAATAAGAAGAAGAAGAAGAAAAAGAAATTTAATGAAATACATTACCTTAAAATGAGGCATATATCTCTTATCATCAAGTATTTCAAGAGGAATGGTGCTAAATGTGGGATCTTGTGGTTTTATTAAGTCAATTGATAGGTATAGCATTGCCTTCAACACTTCATGAAAACTTCGACTCACTGTTTCCCCTGAATGTTGAAATCGTTCTTGAACTTGCCTATTTGAAGCACCTAAAGCAAGGGTATATAAGAACATACATACTTTCTCTATAACTGAGATCCTTCTTGAAGCCTCCAATCCATAATTACTTTGTAAGTCATTACAAAGGCTAATCAATGTGTTTTTATCCATTCTAAACATATTAATGCATCTAGTATCATTCTCTCTAATTATTTCTAATAGCCATATGTACCCAGTTTGAAGAGAATTCATGCAAGGTTCCTTGTTTACATAGTTTAAATAATACCAATTTATTGATCCAACCATTGAAACTATCATTTGACATTCCTCTTCATCTTCATCGATTAATGCCCTTTCAACGTCATTCATGTCCACATTCACTTCCATATCCATATCTATATAAAAAAGGGGGAAGAAAACACCAATATAAAATTAAATAATATTGTGCAAAACAATAAAATTAAATTAATAATAGCCAAATATTTATGAAAATTGAAATTAGATAAATATAAATAAGTTTTAACAATGCAAACTTATTAATGTAATAACCATAATAGTAATAATAATTAATAATAATTCTAAACACAATTTAAAAAAAAAAAAAACAGAACCAACTAATATAAAAAATATCTAACAAACAAAAGTTTAATGTAGCCTTTGCAAAGTCCAAAATTTAGCCGACAAAGAGGATCTAATTAGGCAATTGGTAGCCACCCTTCCACAAGCCATAACTGTAATTTAAATAGTTCACTTTTTGTTCTTTAGTCTTCATGGCAGCATATGCTTTTCTCCTTATCTTTTTCTCAAAAAAAATTCCACTAAAGAGATATAGCTCACAATTGGGATCCATATCAGGCAAAGTGAGTAAATCATTCAAAATCTCTTCAATTGTACAACCAGGCTTGTCCCCAAAAATTGCTCCCATAGTAGACGTTCTATTAGCTATGGTTTCTTGCAATTCTTTCATTTGATTAGTTATCAACATTGCACCAGTTTGAGGCTTCTTTCCTTTGTTAGCATTCTTTATTTGTTTTGGTTGTGAACTGGTCATCCCATCAATCTTCTTATGTTTCTTTCCAATGCTCTTGGATTGTTCATCCAAATTTTCATTTTCAGAAACTCCAAGGCTAAATTGCGTAGGTGTAAATGTAGTTCCATTCCCTATGAGTTTTTCTAAATTCTGTTCAAAGTCTTCCTCTAAACAAATGGTAGTATCTTCATCTACTACTTTATCAACTTCTATTGCATCAATTTCCCTAGGTAGTTGACCAATTGAGGGCGAGTATGCATGATCTCCTCTTGCCACATTATCAAATAGCAACTCATATTTATCAAATAGTTCCTTTCCTATACCTTTCTCTCTCAATTTTTCATATTCTGGATTTTCCTGAAAGATAAATCAAATTTATTATTTATAATTAATTAACTACTAAAATTAGTCTATAAAATTTTTAAGCATCAAAATATATATTTACCTTAATCCTTTCTTCCCAAAATTCAGAAGGAGCATCTACAGTCCCAGTTTTGGGATTCCATCCTAACCCAGTTCGGTTGTTTCCTATCAAATCTTTCCATAGTTTCCACTGTTCCCTCATCCAATCCCATTTGTTTTTTAATTGTGCTTTTCTAAAATGTGCGCCTTTTGCTTCCATTTCATTAAGTACCCATTGCCAGCCAGCCTCACCCCAATGATTTCCAACTTTTTTACCAAGGTATGCACCTTGAACACAAATATCAACAAACAAGTTAAATTTTTCAAGTGTCCAAGAAGCCCTCACTCCACAACTAATTTCTTGTTCTTCCGATTCGGTCTTTAATTGTTTCTTGCGTGCCATCTAATTCCAAAATATCAAGAAAAACAATATGTTTATTATAGGTAATAGAGTATAGATATTCACAATGACTAATATATTGATTATATACAAAAAAAATATTATTAAAAAATTTACATATTTTCTCTGCAATTATTATTTATGATACATATATTGGTAAAACAAGAGCTTAACTAATTATTCTTGACTTTATAAAAAAATTAAAAAAATTCATTATTCTTAACGCATAGCAGGAATACTATAAAAAAATATACTCAAAGGCAAGTTTAAGGAACTAAATTGAGAGGACCTTATCAAAAGATGAAACTGATACTACTACTTATGTGTGCAAAATCCAACAATCTCTAAATTAATGAATGGAATTGAATACTATGCAAATAGATGAATAAATTAATATATAACTTAAATTATTCATAAAAAAAAGTGGTGAAGAGACTTCGAAAAAGAAAAAAAGATATTGGTGCAAACGATTCTGTACCTGGTGGTTGAAACAAAGCCTGCAGGTCGCGCGGAAAAGAAATTAGGTAAGCGCGCAAGTTAGGTGTGCCTGTTTATATATTAATTTTGTTGGGTATTTTTGTCAATAAAATTAAATAATTATAATCTGTTAGTGGTTTAGTACAAAAAGCTCATAAAAGCAGCTTTTTAAATCCGCTAACGGTTTGTACCTTAAACGTTATCCGTTAGTTTTGAACCGTTAAATAATTTTTTTTACCAAACACCTAGTTTATGATGGTTTCAAAATAAATATGTTTACCAAATACTTATCTTATAGCGGTTTGGACGAAACCGCTAACCACTACCCCTAAACCGCTATACCAAACGGGACCTTAATCTTGAAAATGTGGCGGGAGACAGTGGTTGCAAATTGTGTTATTAATTTATCCAATGATGCAATCAAGATCGATTCTGCAGATTTCCAAATATTACCTTGTCGGTGCTCCGTGCTGTCAATTCAAGCTGCAATGAAGCCTGGCCAACCATGCCTTATCTTCAAGCAAACATCATTTTTACTTGGTGTCCACATTTTCTTTCGTTTGTTGTGTATTTTGTCAAAACCGAGTCAGTGTTTAGATGCTTCTTTTTCAATGTTGTTTGCTCAATCAATTATTCCTAGATATATAGATACACATCTGTCCATATAGCCATCACTATTATTAGATGTTCATTTTTGAATCTAACATCGATAAAAGGTTTTGTTCAAAGGATATTTCAACGGATGAAAAAGTTTATTAAGACTATAAATCTTAAGATGGATGTATATATTATGAAGTCAAAAGTTAAATGACAAAAAATTATTAATGGGTTTTTTAATTTTTATTAATATTTTTAAAATATTATAATTTTAATATCATATGATATTTTAAGTTTACAATATAATATATTAATCACAATTTTAAAAAAAAGTAAAGTTTTA